TACAGCTATGCAAATTTGTTGTGCCTGTGCGCGCCGTTCGGAAACCATTCCGGAAAAACCTTCTGGGATCAATTTGAACCCCCCCTGAGCACATGTTAAGTTGTCTTAGAGATTGGCATGCCATCACTTTTGGTGCATTACAATAATGAGAGCTGCCTGTGAAATATGCACAGCCTCAAATATTGGGAGTAGGTATTCAAACATTGCCAAACACAGCGGACTGTTGGTCACCTGGGTTTATACAAAAGCTCATGGGAATATAGCAGCTGATGAGAAGCTGAAATTGCAGTTACAGTTGCTTTATAGAGCCAATGACTTAACATTTTCCTAATAAAATCAATGCTTTTGGCCTTATCTGGGCTCACCTGATAACTTATTTCATGCATGATGGTGTCCATCACTTTGTAATAGCAACATACATTAAAACACAAAGTTCTGATCTAGCAAACCAACTGCTATTTTACCAGCATTTTACTCAGGGACATGCAATCTGTATAATGATTCTGAGATGGGAGGTTAAGAATAAGCCAAGGCTCTAACAGCTCAATAATAAAAATGTGTTTTTCACAGCCTTAGGCTACTTCCCTTCAAGAAACAATAATCAAGCTTCAATTGTTGACCCATGTGTCAAATCACTCTTCATTTGAGTAGCATAGACTGTGGCCTGGAAATAATGGACCCTGCCCAACTTCATTTCATGCCTAACCTTTTCCAATTTATGCAACATTCTATAAAAAAGGAGAAGCCCAGCTTGGGGCCAACAGCATGAGGTCCTCACAAAAGAATGCAAATAACTGCACACACCTCATTGGCCACATGCAAAATAGGAATGGGTTCAAAATATGTACTGGTTATCAAATGGGCACATGACCTTCACACCTTTCTCTCCCATGGCACAGCTGCAAAACACAAAGCAACCACCAGGCAGATAATACAGAGGGAATTTGGATTAGATTGTTGGATAACTAAGCATATTTCAGCAGTTAAACAACCAAAATTTCTAATGGTGTTCTCACCAGGTACCACAGCTTGCCACCATGCAGCATTCACCCTCCAGCGGGCCACCACTGGGTATGTTACACGTCCCACATGGCCAGTCTCACTGCTTCCACCTACAATGTACTAACCTTGTACACCTTACCGAATGCCCCATCACCTATTTCACCTTGTAGTTCCCAGACTCCTCCGGGTTAATTTCGACCTTAACATTATTGAGAACGCGGCGCTTTTTTGATGCGCCCTCCCCAGGGGAAAACAAGCTTTTCAGGTTCTTCAAAAATGACATCCGTTTTTAATGTGCGCCTATGAAGACAGAAAGGACGGAAAGCAGAACTACGACTTGACCATCCTACCCAGCTGTTGATCACAGGGAAGCAAAAGGGGCCAACTCCGCCCCGCCCACGACCCCTCACCTCACGGGAACTACTCTATTCACGAAGCATCCCGGATAAGCACAAGGTCGATGAATATCGGGCGGAGTAAGTGCTCTGCGGTAGTTTACAAGCCTGTTAGTCCAAGCTGATTGCTGTTTTTATCGCTGTGAGTGCTGAACATGTGTCCACATTTATGATGTCATATGAATTAGTTGTGAATATAGAGCTTAAATCTTCCCTATGCTCTCATTTGAGAGTCACTTATTGCAAGCTCTTAAACTATAGAAAAGCTCACATTTTTTTGTTTTTAGAAACACAGCGTTTTAAAAGCATTCCGATAAAAGTGGTTAAACGTCATGCAGCTGAACCAATCAAATTGCAGGACTGAGAGCCTTTAGTTTAGTGGTGAGCACCTGTATTGCTAGAAGTCGTAATGGCGCATGCGATACAAAAGAGAAGCACCGCTGTTTCTGTTTTGTGGCCCATCATCGTCGACAGCATATACGACTCGTACACGTTATATGCTTTTTGACACCTACGGCCTTGTTCTACGTTACCGCTGGTTTAGATGTGGGGAGAATTTGTTATGCACCTGATCAATGCATCGGTTTTCCTGTGCGTGCTGCGCGGGGTGTGTCGGATTTAGATCAACGTACAGATAATGTGTGTGTTTCGTTAATAACAGTAAAAATGCCCCTCGTCGTAATAACTGGCTTCCCTGCATCGGGCAAATCACAAAGTGTTCGGACTTGTCGAGTTATATGAAAGAGTCTTTTAAGGGAAAAGTTGTGATCATATGTGAGCATGATTACATTTCTACCAAGGACTCCACATACTCATGTAAGTTGGTGTAGTCTATGTTTGCCAATGGAGCCTCAGGTACAAATGATTGTTAGACATTCCAAATTTTTTCTTTGCACTTCCAATGTCATGCATGCATCATACATCAATAAACCTCCAGTAACATCCTTTGATGATTTGCTGCTCTGCCATGTATGTTTGGTGCAACAGATGTTTTTTTGCAAACTGTTCAAGTTACCATTTCATTATCTCCTGTTATTTTAGACTAGGCACTGATTTATTTGATTACTGCACTTTGCATTCTAACTTCTGTTGGAGGCCTGGTGGAGCAGGATGGCAGTAGGTTTTGGTTGTTTTTACTATTTGTGTTTTGATGATTTTTAATAGCATCAAAACAGGACTGGGCCATAGTATTATGAGACATAAATTTCATGACTTATGTATGCATGCACAACACTGCAATACTGGCTAAAATGGTTAGCTCTTGGCATGCTTCAATATCTGTTGTTTTGCTGCATGCAGCATTACAGCCAGTAATGTTGTGACTAAAATGTTGTGTTATTAGGTATCTAAGGGTAGACAATGTAAGTAAGGATACAAACTATGACTCCTCTTATTTCCCAGCACCACAAGTGAGAAGGATGTGCGTGCAGCAATGAAAGGTGATGTTGTTAGGTAAGAAATGGATTAAGGCTTTACCTATGATGCAATTATTCTTCACTGATGAACATGGAAAATACACATTTTTTCATCTATTGCTTTGGATAGAAGGCAGGCAAAAAGAGGAATAAGCATGGTGTTGCTTGCACTTGCTGTATTTTACTTGGAATTGAAGATGGGCTCATTTTTAGGGTGGAGTTAATGCACAAGCTTATAAGATGCGGTAGTGTGTACAGCATGGGACAGCCTGAGCTGTCAGAGTCTGGTGAGATCTGTAATATTGTGTATCACCCTCCATGCCAATCATGCAGTCCATCTCATCAGCATAGTGGGTTTGAGACACATCTCTCATAATACATCTAGTGGTGAGGGTGTGTTTGAGTTACTTTAAGTGTTCACTTTTTGTGACTGACTGGGTGGCCTGGAGCCAGTGGCAGAGGTCACACCAAAGGTCAGGTGAGGTCAGGGTAGGACAGACTGTGTCAAGCATTACCATACACTTATGCCACACAGTTTTGCATTGAACCTGGGGTTATGTCCAGTGGTGGGATCTGGACCCAGGAAAAAACATCGCTTAACATGGGCTCTGTATGTATCCGTAGTTGTTTCATTAATACACCCAATTAAAAATCTGGGTTAAAGTAAGAGCTTGATATTTTAGGCTAACTATGCTCTGCAGCTGACATTTTTTTGTTGAAAGGAAACGCAACGCACGCTGTCGCGCACCCGTTATGGAAAGCCAGAAACGGCAGTGGCAATATTAAGGCTGAGGAACCATGGCGCAACTGAGACTGGAACCTTGACCCTCACGTGGTAGCCGAGCCCACTTACCACTCAGCCCCTACAGTCCCATTGCTGACATAGCCCTGGGTGTAATGCCACTAGCGAGGTCTGTAGCATTATGAAATGAAACGTGGATAATTGAAAGGGACAAGAGTACTGCACTCTCATTTGCAAGACCCTGATTCAAATCCCATCAGTTCTATTAAGAGAATTCGGGGTGTGACTCGCACATAAGCCAAATATCATCCAGTCCTTCTCCAGAGCTCAGAACACCTCACGCCAACCGGAGGGTTAACTGGCTGAAGCGTTGTATGCATATTATTACACCAGATGGGGACAGTAGTCCCAACAATTATTCCATTCATGATACCAACATGTTCTCCTCAGGCAAATATCAAAGGATGACATAGTGATCCTGGACGGCCTCAACTACATCAAGGGGTACAGATACGAGCTGTTCTGCATCAGCAAGAACTGCCGGACGCCGCAGATGACCCTGCACTGCGCCATCAGCGCCGAGGAGGCGTGGCAGCGGGACCTGGCGCGCCCCGTGTCGGAGAGGTGCGTCACCCCGCCTTGTCCTGGCGTCATCCTGGCTGATGCGTAGACCAGCTGGACGAGGCGTTGCCGGAACGAGGGGGTAGTGAATTCGCACAAGCGGGCGAGGTGTAAGTGGTCTCCCAGGCCTTCGGGGGCGACTTCTTTGCTAGGCGTCTGAGCTTGTTTGTGGTGGGTGCATGGATAAATTTAAGTGCAATGATGGACGAGCTTTTTACTAGCTTTTTTGTGCGCCTAAATCTAGTGGATCGGCCAATAGGCTACTGTTGAGGTAACATTGGGATCCCTTTCGGGTGAAAAAATCGCTAATTTCGATGCGAAGAACAACCTACTTGACCCTGCGTAATGTCTCAGGTCGTAGGTTCCCGGGAGCCAATTTGCACCCTCATTTGGCGAAACCCTGGGTCCGTGTCTGGCTCAGAGGCTCAAGGGTGTCAGGGGTATCCAGGGTATAGGGGTATGAAGTCTCCAGTCAGACCATTCCTGGATGCCTACCCAGGCAGGCTATTTGAAAGCAGTCTATAAGCAGACAAACTGAACTTTTTTAGTACTGAATTGTCCTGCGGATGTACTTGATGCAAAGTTCGCGCCGCCTTGCTTGCGCACCTGCCCGTGGCTAGTGCTGCCCTCTGGACCGCCCTCGCCGCCGTCCGGCCCGTCCGGTGACGCGCCGCGCGTCGCCACAGGTACGGCCGGGCCTGCTTTGACGCGCTGCTGGCGCGGTACGAGGAGCCGGACAGCCGCCACCGCTGGGACAGCCCGCTGCTGACCGTGCAGCCGGACGAGCCCACGCCCTGCGCGGACGTCCTGCGCGCTGCTGGACGCCCCGGCGCCGCGGCCCAACCAGTCCACACAGAACGTGCGTGTGTACCTGGCCGTCCGTTGGGCCGCTGCCCGCAGACGGTCCGGTCCGGCCGGGGTGTTGGTCGTTTGTCGGCCTCTTGTGTATACCTTAAGCGCTCCCGATACACTACCTGGCATGCATACGTGCTGTGGGTGTAACGCGTTGTGCGTAACACCACACTGCCGTCACTCTGGTGTTAACACTTGGCCGTTCCGAAAAAGATGCTTCAATTCATTATTGCATTTGCGATATTGCAGCCGTTGCTGGCGCCCACCAACTTCCTGTTCGACCTGGACCGCCAGACGCAAGAGGTGGTGAAGGTGAGCCAAGGAGCGGGGGCCGAGCCACGTGAGACCGCGGTGCTCCGACGGCCAGCGAGCGGGGGCCGAGCCACGTGAGACCGCGGTGCTCCGACGGCCAGCGAGCGGGGGCGAGCCACGTGAGACCGCGGTGCTCGACGGCCAGAGCGGGGGCCGAGCCACGTGAAACCGCGGTGCTCCGACGGCCAGCGAGCGGGGGCTGAGCCACATGAGACCGCGGTGCTCCGACGGCCAGCGAGCGAGGGCCGAGCCACGTGAGACCGCGGTGCTCTGACGGCCAGCCTCCGCCCCGGTGTCACCCCCGCGCAGCGGAGTCTCCCCGGCCCTGGGCTGTTGCCGCACCGCTCAGGCCTAGCAATGGCCACCGCTAGATCAGCCGTTTAAAATTATGTTGCGGCAAGCATTAGCGTTGTGCGTTTTCATGTCGGTTTGTCACAAGGTGACGTGCCCAGCGCTTCCGCAGCGGCTAAGACCCGGCCTCTGGTCTGTAGCTCCGCGCTATGATGCGTCCCCGGGGTCGCCGTCGCTGGCTGTGCGCGGTTTCCGTAATGTCTCGCCGTTCACGCGTCGGTCCTCAGCGCTCGGCGGCCATGCGTGGCAGTCTGAGCCGGCTCCGCTCCGCGTGGTGGCGGCGACCGGGTCACCGCTGACCGACCCCCTGTCCGCAGGCCATCATGGCGGGTCAGCAGGCGGCCGTGGAGGGTGACAGGCTGAGCCTGCCCATGACCCCGGAGCGGTACACGGTGTCGGCGCAGCTGACCCTGGCGCAGCTCAGCCGCGCCGCCGCCAGTTCGTCTCCTACATCAAGACGCACCCTGCCCAGCCGGGAAGCGTGGCCACGCTGTTCGTGCAGTACCTCAACAAAACGGACGGTGACAGACGGCCGCGTCCGACCCGGCAACATCACCGCCATTTGTGTCGTACGCCGTGACGGTTTTATCAGAGTGACGTCGATGGCATGCGACCTGTATTGCTGTGCAGACAAGGAGCTCCGAGAGCTCCACATCTCCCCGCGTTACAATACACGCACGGGGCTCGTGTGCTCCTGTCGCGCTGGGCCGGACACGCTGGCTGCGGAGGGCGGCGGCGGTCAGTCGCCGCATGGTCCGGCGGCGTCTTCGGGCTGCGTGTGACCGGAGGGGAGCAGCGCGGCGGCGGCACGGCGGACCGGCGGCCGGCCAGACCGGAACGGCGCGGCGCCGGGCTGGCGGGCCGCTCCAGTGCGCTGCTCCGGCTGGCCGGGTCCGGGTCTGGGCTCTCCGCTCGCCAGCTCAGGCGCGCGTGGCAGCGGCGGCCAGTCAGACACCCTGTCAGCTGGTGCTGGTCAGACAGGTGTCAGCTGAGTTGGGTCTGACACACGTCAGTTGAGACTGCTATCAGTCAGACGCAAGCTGGGCTGGGTCAGACACATGTCAGCTGAGCTGGATCAGACACGTCATCTGAGCTGGATCAGACAGGTCATCTGAGCTGGATCAGACACACGCCAGCTGAACTGGATCAGACACCTTAGCGTATCTGGATTAAAACAAAGTCAGCTGAGCTGGAACAGACACACGTCAACTGAGCTGGATTGGACACGTCAGCTGAGCTGGATCAGACAGACGCCAGCTGGGCTAAATCAGACAGCTGAGCTAGATCAGACACGTCATCTGAGCTGGATTAGACACACGTCATCCGAGCTGGACCAGACACACGCCAGCTGAGCTGGATCAGAGACACGTCAGCTGGAGCTGGTCGGACACCGCTCCTATGGGCCGGGTGAGATGCAGTCTGTGGGGACCGGTCGGACGCACGTGGGCCAGGTTGCTTAGTGTCAGGTACGGCACTGTGCCGCCGGTTGTACAGATGGACTTGACAACAGATAGTGACAAGTTGATTAAGTGTCGTCGAACACTGCCAACGCGGTTTACAATGGTGTGGTATTGAGTTTCCGTGGTCTGGTGTTGCCATGATGAGGCGTGCTGGGGTGCTGTGTATTTGTCACGCTTGCGTCGTGTTGCGCGTACGAATGCATCCAGTAAAGACCATGAGCTACGATCTCCATCCGTCCCGTTTGACGCATTCCAGGTACTCGAGACACTCGGCATTATGCATCTGTCGATCGCAATCGGCATGTCAAACGTATGGTGCCGGAAGCCCCGTAGATGTTCCAGGATTGTTGATGCACGAGATGACCAGCTGACCCGCTATAGACCCGTTCTGATTGGCTGTCACTGCCATGCTCAGCTGATAGGGTCAACGAACCCGGCAGTGCATGGCCCAATTGGAAAGCTCGGGAGATTCACGGAACTGTCGGCTCGGCAACAAAATTCATACAACATCCGACGAAAGTCTAGGAACAATCTGAAGTGGACGCCACACTAGATATGGGACCGTGAACATAATCAACATGGGCAGATTACGTCCGTGACACCAGGCTACGACTTAATGAGCGGAGACAGGGTTACAGTTACAGAACTTGGCTACCACTGCATCGGCAGTCAGCGCTAAGCATGATAATACGGGAGCTGTCCCTTGACAGCTCGTATGCAGATCACAATGGGCCTTCAGTATGCACTCGTTAAGTGACGATATCTAGCAAACATTCGTAACACTACCAAATTTCGACGTTTTCAGGTTGTGTTCATAGTCACGGTTCGACGTTACAGGTTGTGTTCATGGTCATGGGTTCAACGTTACGGGTTGTGTTCATGGTCACGGGTTCGACGTTACAGGTTGTGTTCATGGTCGCGGGTTCGACGTTACAGGTTGTGTTCATGGTCACGGGTTCGACGTTACAGGTTGTGTTCATGGTCGCGGGTTCGAGTTTACAGGTTGTGTTCATGGGCGCGGGACAAATATGATGCGCTGAATGCAACCAAGTTGCTTGATAACGGCGCACCAAAGGCCATTACCTTCTGGTTGAAGATCAATGACTTTTGTAGTAAGAATTGCGAATTATAAATACGCATGCATCGACACATTTTCACTCCTACTCGGCTGCACGTATAACTAAAACATCACATGCGTAACCGCAAATGAACCAAACCCCAATTAATCGTGGCACTGTGCCAGCGGCCGGCAGTTGTCGGTGTTGGCAACACCTGGATGTTTTCAGCAATGCGTCCCGCTTTTCAGCACCTCAGCTGCTGCTTTGGAAACAGCCATACCAACTGAAATATGTACAGTCAATTTCGGCGATTGGCGAGCAATTTCGGTACCTAAACATTGGAATGACGGTAAAATAATTGTGCGATGTGAACAGTGAGCTCAATGGCTTAATGCTCCATGATCTATTCATTGCACCACTGTTTTTATGTGATATAGAAACTGCCTTTATTGTCACAGGAAACACAAACCAGAACATCAGGTGATCCTCATGACAGTACATGATATCGCACTGTGCTTCGGCGGGTCGATAAGCGGTAAATTCTTCATGAAAAACCTTTAATGTTTAAATGTTGGCTTGTTTTTGCTTGCGCTGGCCTCGGATGAATTTTGCGATAGCAACAGAAGATGCACCGGCTTGAAAAGGGACGTCAGAGGTATACACCGTGAGCCTGCACGAGCTCAGTGACGTCAGCAGGAGGTCAGATGATTGGGACTTTCGAGAAGCAGACCATCGCCTGGCATTATTCAGCGTTTTCATCCGCATGTGGGTATGCAGCTGCAGACGGATGCGAGACGGCAGGTACAGGCGGTAGCGCGGCTGGCAGACACGGATGCAAGACGGCGGGTACAGGCGGTAGATGCAGCTGGCAGACACGGATGCAAGACGGCGGGTACAGGCAGTATATGCAGCTGTCAGACACCGATGCGAGACGGCGGGTACAGGCAGTATATGCAGCTGTCAGACACGGATGCGAGACGGCGGGTACAGGCAGTATATGCAGCTGTCAGACACGGATGCGAGACGGCGGGTATAGGCAGTATATGCAGCTGTCAGACACGGATGCGAGACGGCGGGTACAGGCGGTATATGCAGCTGGCAGACACGGGTGCGAGACGGCGGGTACAGGCGGTATATGCAGCTGGCAGACACGGATGCGAGACGGCGGGCACAGGCGGCCGCCATTTTACGGCAGAACGCTCGTGACTGACACGCGCCATTACCGACGGTTTCCAAAGCATAGTTGAGCAGTTCAAAACCGCTTTGTCGGTAATGGCGCGGTGTTTGCGTACCGTAAATAGTGGAACCCAGCTGCGGAAGCAAACAAACACCCTAAATTGGATAGTGAATGCATTGACCTGGTCACCACGTGTGAAGAATCCTCCGTCCGCAGTTATCTCTCTAACAGGTGAATCAGCTCCTCTGGGAAACTTGACCACACAAATACGTGAGACATGAACATCAACGCTCAAGAGCACTGGACGGTGCATTGATCACACCGCGGCTTCTGCGTTCATTCAGACCGCATAACCATGTGGTTGTCTGGCTTTTGCACTGCGGTGTGTCTGTGATGTGCATTTGACTATGCTATCAATACAAAACCCCGAAGTGCTATCTCCACCTGTAGGCATGCTTGGGATAAAAGTGGCATGCATTAAGGTGTATCGTCAAGAGATTTCGCCCGAATTCTGAGCATACACCTTCACCCGCCGCACACTGAACTGGGCGAAGATGTCGGTGTCTGATATGTGTGCAGAGGCTTAAGATGACGCCCACTGCAAGCATGACGTAGAGGCATGACATTTGACCCCACACGTGCTGAAACATGTCTGAGCTTATCAAGCTCAGAGGAACGTGGGTACTCAATGGCGATTGAAACGGCTTCCGAAAGTCGTTTCTCGCTTCATCTAACAGCATTTGCTCCGGTAATGGAAACTGCGCTGGGCTCTGCTGGAATCGAAACTGTGCTGGAGTTTACCGATGCTTCCGACCTTATCCAGGCCGTTATCGAAATTGGATGATGCCACAACGAAAAGGAAAAAGAAGAGAGTATTAGTATTAGAACATTAGCTGTTTCTCCGATCACTCGTTTGCCCCCAGTAGTGAGGATAGTACTAGCATTGTTGTCTCAAACGACAGCCTTAACCTACAGCTTGATATGTTGCGGTCAAGTTCTAGAGACCATGGATTCCGATTTTGATAAATACTTTCTGAATGACCTCCTTTCAAATGAGACTTCTTGCGCTACCCTGGGGTGAATTGTTCATACGACAGGGGAAGTTGTGCTTATGTTATTGTTGTCATAGAGTAAGTTGCATCGCGAGCAAGCTGGCTGCGTTACGACATATAGACCGAATGCGCGCGGCTGTGCTAGTTCGGTGTTCGTCGTGACTGTAACGTGACACATCTTTGTTTGACCACTGTCACCTCGGTTTTGTTTGACTACTGTCACCTCAGTTTTCGTTACCCAGGTTGAAATTATGGGTCTACGTAGGTAATGCAACTGTCGACTTGCTTGCTGGATGACAATAAGTCAGGGCATTCATGCCAGGCAATCATTGACAGTAACTCAGCCAATGGCATATTGACGTTACGTTGCATCACTGATGCAACATACCCCATGCACAGCTGATGCAACATGTACCACCATTTTGGAAGAAAATGTGTGCCACCCTGACATCCGTGGGAAGCAGACGTCAAAGGTCTTCCAGCATATACGACAGATGCACTTCCCCACCACTCAGTACAGCATTTGGATTGGTCTAGTTATGCTGCAAGCCCTCACATTCACACATTTACACCGGGCACTATAGTTTGAACAATGAGCAAAAACATTATTTGTCGCGCTCACCCCAAGGCACGTGTACGCATGCCGCCCGAAGAACACTGGAAGGTAGAGGGAGC